AGATATTATCTCGTGATATATTAACAGGCCACAAGCCATAACAAAAAAATATAGAAACACAACATTCAATGAAAGGATGTTGATCCTAACGGTATAATTATCAAGCTGTGCAATCGTAAATATATGGAATTCCAAGTATTCATTCTCTGAGGAAATATGAATAATGGATGAACGTGATGATGCAATAGAAAGATTACGTAATGTAGATAGTAACAATAAAAGATTGTATGTGTGTGTGTGTGTGCAAATAGAAAGCCATGCAAAATTATTAAGTTTATAATCGATTACAATGTGGATGGAGAGTAAACCGTACTTTAATTATGAGTGTTAATGAAGTTATCCAGTTACCCCCTTCTAACCCAAGTGGATAATGTGTTAGTATTTGAAGTGAGCAATACTGAATTAGAGTCTTGAAAAGAACATCCATTCTAACATTCAGGTATATCTAATGGAGGAACCCGAAATGGGACGAAACTTTTGTCATGGATTCCTCTGGTAATCATAATCCATTTATCTTAATGTAAAATTCTGTCATAACAAATACATGGATGTAATCGGCACAGAAAACGCATATACTAACCAAAACTGATTAAAATTCATTCAAAATATCAACAACGGAATAATCCAGACCATTACTGATATGATGGGATCAGAAAGTAAATTTACATTTGTATCGTTGCATTATACAATAACAAGCCACACAGGGCCACAAGTTATAACATACTCATTGTGACTCTCATTTAACATTACTTCCGTTTCCTAATTCAATGTGATAACTATACAATGTAGCATTTGTTTTTATATTCCATTGTGATATATATTATCCGGTAAATGTCAGTCAGTCAGCCACAACATAGAACTTCGTACGTACATACATCAGTCCAAGTTGCCATATCACATTAGCATAAAGATAAAATTGTCGATTCAAATCTCATAGTGGTAAAGGTAATAAGAGTATAAGCAGTAATCGGAAAGATTAGGGTTTGAAAATGTTATTCAAAGAGTATAATTCAGAACATTAGAATTTTGGAGAACACAAAGAGTGGATGCACCCTGCGCCATTGCAAACGATTTTGAGTCATGTCATTCAAGGGTCTCTAACTATCGGTTACTATCGTCTGGCTGATCGCATCCAGGTAGTCTACACCTACCAACATGGCTCAGTCCACTTGTCAATAACTTCATGGATTTGTTCCATGTTTTAATCCTTATCCTGTAAAACATTAATTGATTTAAGTTTGATACAATATTCTTGTATTAAATTAACATGGACTATGTTCAACATGACACACAGCATATAATTTGTTATAACTAAGTATCTCTCATAGATGTGATTTTATCCTAGTTAGTAATTACAGTGTACAATGGGACCTGAGACACCTAGACTCATAGCTTAGGATACTACCACTAAACTGTTCTATCGATTAAGGTACAACCTATCCACTAATCTAAGTGACTAGAAACCACATAGACTATGTCTTCTTGATATTAAATCTTTGAAGGTAATCGGTTGATGATTCCTTGTTTTTACATATTTATTACTAAAGCATCACTTCAGCAATGACATATTATCAGCTTACTGTTCTTTAAAGAGATTGTAAAGTGACTGAAATGGGTCAGTATGAAGCCCAAACACAAGTCATTCGATCAAATCATCTACAAAGTAAATAGAAGGTTGACAAAGGGAGTTGTATTCCATCCTCTTAGTATTGCTGAAGCGATTGCTAACTATTTGAAAAAATCAGAATAATGTGTCTAGAAAAAACTAGTACAACCTCATTTTTCCATCATGGTCTTAATCTCTAGCAATCTTTTTTCTCTTTCTTTTCTTCTCTCATATCCATCTGCTTCTCCTCTACTTTCCATTTTGCAGATGTCTTATCCCCCCCCCGAATATGGGCAACCAATCATGAACATTGCCACCAGAATGAACTGAACTAACTATTGTTCAATAATCAAGAAGCTTAGTATTACATGAAGTAGGGTATAGGGATATTGTCCATAATGAGAATTAATGCTCTACAATTAAATCGCACAACTCAGAGGACCAAACAATACCGAAACCAACTACCTACCATCTAAAATTAGTATGCACATTTAAATATTACAGCTTATTTGAACGTTTGGTCTATATATTTCCCAAATGTTCAAATAGGATATTAGGAGAGGGTTTTGTGGAGATTTTAGTAATTTAATAGTTGAATTCATAATTCGATTAATGCTAAATCACCTTGGAAAACGTGGAAGCACTGGACGGTCGTTTCGTTCTAGTATGAAACTCCTTGGCAGTACACATCCACGATTCTGTTCACAAGGTTCGAATCTAGGATTAAATAAATAACTGAAGATGATCAATTTGGAGGGAATCATTATTTATACTCTTTTAATGTATGGGATCGAATCCATCAGGGATCATCAGTTCCTTTAAGATAACAAGTACATCTTGCTGACAAGTGTCAATTAGCACAAAACCTAGATCTACAGTTTCTTGTGGACTACCTCCAACCACCAACTTATTTCAATATAATACATGCAATGTCGAATCACCTAGACTAGTGGCCATATTGCAACTCGGTCGATAGCAATCGACATGCCCTAGAAAACAAACGTTTAAATTGAAATTTTAATATCACATGACATTAGATTTTCTATAACGTTAACGTTAATAAAACATTACTCCCCACTGGGGGAACTTAAATCTGTCCTAACCATTGACAATAAGAAACAAATGGATTAAAATACAATATATAGTTAAGAGATTTCCTAACATCATTAAAATATAAACTGAATATTTATATTAAATTATATTTCAAAGGTGGGTCTTTGGCATGGATACTTTACAATTAAGGCTCTATCGATAATTAGAAGTAACTGAATAAGTGGTTTATTCCATCATCAGGAGAATGACCTACAGTACGTAGTCATAATCTTATTACAAATCTAGGAACCATGATAAAGCCATCATCTGATAAACTATGACTTCAAAAACTTATATAAGAATGAAAGAGGCTATCTATTGACCCCTGAATTTCAGGAGTATCTCAAATAAAAATAACAGAATAAATTATCTTTGGAAAACTAGTCAGTCAGTCAGTTGCAACGTAGGACCAGGCAGATATATGCATCGGTCCAAGTTGCCATACCTCATTAGCACAACAAGATGAACACCAGATTCATAGAAGTAGTTAATTCAGTAGTGGTAACATACAGAAGAAAGATTGAATAAAAGGAGATAGTACAGGAATAAAGAATTAATTCGTAGAAAGAAAGATATGAAGTGATTTTAATCTCTTAGTTTAAAGGAAAACAGAAAGTGTATACACCGATGCCATTGTGATCGATTCTGAGCCATGCCACAAAGAGTTTCCAAGTAAGTATCAAATAATTGTTCTGTCATAATCTGAAACCATATAGAAGTAAGTTATGCAAAAAATGTCCATCTTTAAACTTTTACTTATCATTAAAATCATGAATCAGTCACCGTTAGACTACCATTGAGAATCTAGAAGCACTGGGAGGAGATTTCATCGTAAAGTGTAACTCCTCAGTACCTACGATAATGTAAGAATTATTTAAATCCAGGACCTTCGATATTGTGCAAGAACATTTGACCTCATGACCTTTGAACCTGCATTCAAGTGATAATATCGTATTCTAAGGACAAATATACAATCAAAGTCTTATAGTAAAAAAAAGACTCCATTTTGTTCATTTTTTTAAAGGTATAGATAATTAGAACTCCGCCTAGAGTCTCTCCGGGGGCTACTGCCGGTCCCAAGCTCGGATAAAGGAGGAGGTTTGGCCATGGGGTTAGCGACCCCATCCCGTAGAAAACTAAATTGCTAAAAAACGCTATTTTAGGATACTTCAGTACATTTTAATCATTGGTTTGGACTCTCCATATCCTTTAACCCGGTTAAAGCGTTGGAAATTCGCTTTTCATCCTCTCAATTTTGTAAACAATAGTAATACCGCAAGAAGTTGATGTGTAGGATTTCTCTGTCAATGTCCGTATACGCGTAGACATATGAGAGCATTTCGAGAAGAAGAGCTGACACTCTCCACTCTCGTTTGTACCAGAGTATTTGAAGTGGCTTAAATTTTTTTCTTTAAACCGGTGGAACTAGGTATTCTCAATAAGTAGTGACCAATGTTTTCAACGTGGTATTGTCGCCGATCTGTTAAGATGATCCAGGGATTTTTTTCGCAAAAGACATGCAAGGATCAGGAAACATGAAGAAGCATTTCATCCAATCAGCGTTCACTTGTAGTTTTAGCCAGAAACATCAAGGAAGTAAAACGTCACATGTAGAGATTCTGATTGGCTGATTGTTATACTGCCACTATGTTTAGTATCATTCCAGAATCTTCTAGTAACCCAAGGACATTTAAAATATCATAAAAAACCGTATATTTTCTGTATTAAAATGAACCTTTGGAGTAAAGTACTTCTGCATACTTTGTGCCTTCTCTCTTGTGTTCAGGTCGCTGTATAGTTCTAGCTTGGGGATTACAAGAATAGCTTAGGAACCGAGTATAGCGTTCAAATTGCAAAACTTATCACGACCATCTAACATAATCAAACCCAGATTGTCCAGATCCGTTAGTTCATTGTGTCCATAGAATGATTATTCCATGAGTATTAAGTTAATAACACATTAGTGACTGATTTCAATAGACATTTCCTGGAGTTCTAGTAAGAAGCCATGACCAATGAAGTTCAACCGGGTCAGTTGTGAGATCATAACTCATTGATGACAATAATGAATATGTCGCTCAAATTCTTGGATTAGTTGAAGTTAAACAGTGATTTATTTAGTTCAACGCTCGCGCACAAAACTGATAGGTCCTGGGTTCGAACCCCACTATAAAACAAATACAGCCATCCAATACTTCCTTGTTTTCCATGATTGTTTAATTTCAAAAACACCTACCAAACATTAACAACAACAACAATCAAAAAAAAAAAAAACCAAAAAAATAACACTCAATATACTTACCATTTTTATCAACTGCCAAAAATTTCACCCATATATTTAACATAGCACGTAATACAGCATCAGAACGTCGTCTATCTAAATGTGCACGTTGTATTAAAAATTGTCCAATTTGTAATAAATCATGACATCTTAATTTCATTGTTTCATTTATATCTAAACGTCTATACATAGTACGTATTTTACCTTCCCATACAGGACCACAATCTAATATACCATAATCTTCAGCTCGTTTATAATTAATTAATGGTCCCCATAATTTAATAATATTACTATGATTATTATCTAACATAAAATAATCAATAAAAATTTTTTGAAAATTTTCTTGATTTAATTTATTTTTATCACTATAGTAACGAAAAATTAATTCACAATCTTTTGGTATTGATTTAAATGCAATCATTAATGTTTGAAATTCTGTATTTGTTATATAATGATCATCATCTTGATCCATAGCAATAAATAATGGATTAATAAATTTATCTAAAAAAAATTTATGAAAATCATTTTTTAATGCATTTAATAAATTATCTATAAATGTATTTTCATTTATATTAATTGTAGTTGCTAATTGCCTAGTTACATGAGTACATATTACTTGATACCATAAATAAACTAATGTTTTAACTAATTCATCATATTTATAAGATAACATTTTAGGATATATATTAAATATTGTTGTACCAATATCTAATAAATCATCAACCATTAAATAACCATGTCCACTTGAATCAAGACGACGAAATAATGTACGCATTTTACGTAACCATGTTGAACCACCAGTAACTTCAGGTAAATCAATTGTCATTGTTTGTTGTTGTTATTGTTGTTGTTGTTGCTATGGTTGTTGTTGTTGCTATGGTTGTTATTATTATTTTAAATGAATTGTGAAACGTTTAATGAATTGAAATATTTAAGTATTTATAGAATTATTAATTATGAAAAAGATATAGATGGAAACCAATGGAAATGAATTGTAATAGTTACCACCTACGCATATCCCCTTAATTTAATGTTTAATAAATTAATACTTACATGGACGCACATATATCCTTAATTCCCACACATGCACACGTACACATAAAAGAGGAATCAATAAAATGTGTCCATTGGATACTTAGGAATTTCACTTCTTTCTTTTCATTATTTAATGAAATCTTTATGTTTTCTAATATTCCATTGAATATACCAATGTCATGTTGAATATTATTCTTCAATGAATGTTTGAACTACATGAAGTTTAATTAATTACTTCGTGTGTGTGTATGTATGTGTGTGTAAGTATGTGTAGGTATGTCTGCTTTATATGTTGATCATGTAAAAAAGCAAAGAAAAGGAAGAAGGTACTGTGAAAATATCATGAAGGGATATTTAAATATTTGTATGTGAAAACTAGTCATTCATTGAATTTAGTTTAGTTTTCCTTTGATTTACTTCGCTTAGTAACTTTAAAGATATGACTTGCATAGATCGCATAGGTCTAATGTAGAAGTTCGAATCTCGCGGGGGGGGAGAATTGTTTATTAGCACTGTTGAGGAGTTCCACAATAAGACAAAACGGACATCCAGTGCTTTCAGATTTTCCATGGTGATCTGACTTCAAATGACTCATGACCTTAGTCATTGAAATTTCTATAATATTCACAAAACCTATCTAATATTAATATAGAAGTCATTGAAACATTAAAATTATAACCGTTGAAGTGATGATATTTACGATTTGTCTCAGTAATTATTTATCTAATGATTTATATTTCTAACTTAAATCATTTCGAATGACTTATATGAATTGGTATCAATGATGATTGTTTTATTATAGATGTGTTTAACTCCACCATCAAATCACCCAACCCCACCTTCTTCGTTGGTTATAACATCTCAAAAGAATGTTAAGAATATCACTGTGAGTTAGGTACTAATGAGTTCATTTTCATTTGTTATATATATGTAGCCACCCTACATATACTAGGACGAAACTGCCGTCCACTGCTTCCAGGTCTATAATGGTGGTCCAGCTTCAAATGACTCATGATTTTAACTAGTGAAATTTCTAAAAATCTCCACTAAACCCCTTCTAATAATAATCATCTGCTCACTAGTGACGAACTTCAAGAGATATTTCCTAGAGTTCTAGTGAGAAGCCGTTACCAATCGAGTTCAACCAGATCTGTTGTAAGATATCAGCTCACTGAAAACAATGGTGTACGGTGACACAATTTCGTGGATTGGTTTGAAGTTAGACATTAACACTGTTGGATGACAGACGGCTCAGTAGTCTAATTGTTAGGCGCTCGCGCGCGATACCGATAATTCCTAGGATCGAATCTTGCGGAGGGCGGGATCGTGGATTCGCACTACCAAGGGGGAATCCCACAATAGGACGAAACGGCTGTTCAATGCTTCTAGGTTTTCCATGATGGTCTAGCTTCAATTGACTCATGATTTCAACTAGTGAAATTTATAGAATTATCAGCAATGAAAAAGATATAGATGGAAACCAATGGAAATGAATTGTAATAGTTACCACCTACGCATATCCCCTTAATTCAATGTTTCATAAATTAATACTCGCATGGACGCACATATATCCTTAATTCCCACACACACACACGTACACACGTACACACGCACACATGTACACACAAAGATAAATCAATAAAATGTGTCTGTTCGATACTTACTATTTTCACTTCTTTCTTTTCATTATGTCATGTTGAATATTATTCTTCAATGAATATTTGAACTTTCATTTGAATATACTGAAACTACATGAAGTTTAGTTAATTACTGAGTGTGTGTGTGTGTGTGTGGGTTGTGTGTGTGTGTGCATGTAGCTGTGGGTGTGTCTGCTGTGTATGTTGATGATGAATAAAGAAAAGAAAAGGAAGAAGGTACTGTGAAAATATAATGAAGGGATATTTAGATATGTGCATGTGAACACTTATCATTCGTTGAATTTAGTTTTCTTTTCTTTTTCTTTGTTTTCTTTTTCAAAAAAAAAAAGAGAAATGAAAAGTGACTTAAACAAATTGATTTCCTTTGTCGAGTAATGTTAAAGATTCGACATTTTAAAAAATAAAAAAATAATATTGTATAGGTCTAATGTAGAACTCATTGAAAGATCAAAATCATGGTCACAGTAACTATTCATCTTAGTTCAATCAGTTCGAGCGATTGACATAAATTGATATCAATAATGATTGTTTCATTATAGATGTGGTTAACTCCATCACATCCCACCTCACCCCACAATTATCTTGATTATAATATCTTAAAAGAATTTAATTCAATTGGTATTGTTTGTTTGAATCTTCGTATTGATGTTTAGGACTGTGATTGATCAGTCTCATGTTGACATATATGCATCCTGTGCGGATTGCCTCGATATAGCTTTAAGTCACAAACTTTTTAAGCAAAGATGGATAGTGGCTAGCAGTGGAATCCACAACACGCATTTCATCTTATTTGGGATTCATCAACTGGATGTACCTGCAGCTCAATGTTTATGTTCACTGTGGAACTCGAACCTAGTACCGTTCACTTCAAATGCCATCTCATTATTTACTTAGCTATTGTGTCCTGTTAGCCATGTTTGCTTATAATGCTTGTGAATTAAGGCTATATCGAGGCAATATGCACATTACGCACATATTTCAATAACAGACTGATCAATTGCAGTCCTAAGTATCAATGGAAATATTCAAGTAAACACTACTGAGTGAATTAAAACTTCAACTTATTCCGCAAACTACGGCTAACAGGACTCAGTAGCTAAGTTGGTAACACGATGAGATTTGAAGTGAACAGTAATGAGTTCGAGTCCCAAAGTGAGCACCAAATCTGAGATGTAGGCACATCCAGTTGACGAGTCCCGAATAGGACGAAAAGCGTGTCCTGGAATCCACTGCTAGTTACTATTTATCTTTGCATCTCAAAAGAACGTTAAGAATTCAACTCTGCTTTAAGTACCGATGAGTTTATTTTCATTATTGTTTGTTTGAGTGAATTGTAGGAAATAGTCCACTGGGAATTTTGATTTCGGTTGGAAAAAAAAACAAGTATATATCAGTTTTTATGAATGCTAACTAACCACAACACCAAACTGAACTATCTATATTTAGTAGTAATGAATTGATCTGTGACAGTGAATGGTGTAGGTTTGAAATGATAGGAAGCATTACTTTCTTTAAGACTAAAGTTATACCATTTTGATGATTGTCTGACCTAGATCCATTCGACCTACATGTGACTATCTCCAATCATCAAACGTCAATCGAATAATTGAAAAGAACATTTTGTATTAAATTAAAAGTACAAATGACACAAGATGTGAGTATAATGTTCTTAACACACAAAAACTTACTAAGTAAAATTCATCATGGATTGATCTTAGTTGGGGTATCAATAAAATCATCGAGCACTGAACAACTGTTTTATCTTAGTATTCAAGTTCTAAGCAATGAGTATACATCATCCCAACAGGGATTAAACCAAGATGTTTCAGACCTCATTTAGAGGTCTTCAATTGATTCTCAATATCGGGCTATCCATACACTCTACTGGTGTCGTGAGTACGAACTGTGTAAGAGCATCATATTCGGACGAAGAAGTCATTCAGTGCTCTTTAGTTTTCAATGATACTCTAATTGTTCATCTAGGGTATGAGGTAAAAGTAGCGGTGGTACTTTTATTTCGATTGATCTGAGATTATCTACAGTAAGTTTGATAGATTTTGAAATCTAGGATTTAATAAGTTGGTTTCATTAGACAATTAAAAGAAAACCGAGCTAGCTTCTTTTATATGGTATTTATTCAAATACACCTAGTTTTAGTCTACCTAAGCTTCTGGTTTTGAGAAAACTGGTCTCCGAAAATAGAATATAATGATCAAACTACCAATTTATGCAATTCATGCTTACTGATGTATGTTGAAAACATGATTGCTACGTAAATATGATTGGATAATTACATATGTGTTGCTTTATTCTCACAAGCAAATAAGTGATTAATTGAATTGCTTTAGTGAATATTCACCACACTGACTTAGTTTAACCTTGGTGCTGTTTGTGTTCTTATTTGATTGTCAATTAAGAAGTGTCAGTGTGAGATTTTGGAGATTGTTAAGTATTTGATTGGGATCATGAATCGATCAATGTTAGAACACTATGAAAAATCTGGAAGCACTGGAAAGCTCTTTGGTTTCAGTATGAGACTCCTCAGCAGTGAGCATCCACGACCCTATCGCGCGAGATATGAACCCAGGGCCTCGAATCTCGCCCGCGAACACTTAACCCCTAGACCACCGAGCCGGTCGACGTCCAACGGTGTTAATGTCTAACCTCAACCAATCCACGAAATTGTTCGAACATCTTCCATTGTCTGTGGTAAATACCAGTCTCCACCTGACACAGATTAACTTCACTGATCACCAGAACTCCGAAAATTCCTTCACAAATCTACCCACTAGTGAGCACGTTGTAATCATCAGTGTAGGGTTGTAGAGATTATTGGGCTGTTCATACCGGTCGAAGATTATTGATTTGGCATAGTGCCAAGGTTGCATAAGTCATATTTCGATTGGCGAATAAATTAGGCGATAATTAGGCGGGTTTAATGTCACAGTTCTAGGAAATAATCCATTAAAATATTATGGTCATTTATTATTAATGAGTGGTAATTCATCATGCAACTGACAGTTAGAAGCTTTTTAAGTAAAGATGGATAGTGGCTAGCAGTGGAATCCAGGACGCACGTTTCATCCGCTACTAGCCACTATCCATTTTTGCTTAAAAAGCTTGTGACTTAAGACTGTATTGAGACAATCCGCACAGGATACACATATATGCCAACATGAGACTGATCAATTGCAGTCATAAATAACAATGAGAAGATACAAGTAGAACAACACCTAGTGAATTTGACCACTAGAAGAATAAAAATTTGCTATGAGGTTGATATATTCAATTACAGATGGTTAAAATAGACAAATCATCATTACAGTATCCAAATAATTTTTATGATATTGTCGGTTAAAACGAGACTTGATTGGTTAATAAACAAAGATATATTCAACAATGTAAAGTATATGAGACAATATAATAATGTAAATACTTTCAGGACAACTTCCACGAATTACGACGAAGCCTCTAGAGACCTTAAAAGAACCAAAGAGTTTCCATCTAATCAGAACGTTTATAAGGTTTTCTAGAATATCAATGTGGCATGCTACGATTGGACAGTAGCA